AAAAGTTACTTTCCGATACGTTTTTTTTAAAAGTGCCTATTGGAACGTTTTTTTATTAGCAGTAAAAACGAATTACTTTTGAAGCGCAAGTGATTACAAACGTGGAAAAAAATTTTTTGTTTTATTTATTACTTTTTGCGTTATAGTTTTTGTATTTATTTAATTAATTTTTATTTATTTTAGTTTTATCATATTATAATAATTTTATATTGCAGTTTTAAAATAATTTAAAAACAAATTACTATTTAGTATACAAAAAAGGTCAAACCCTAGTACAAGGTGTGATTTTTTTCTACTTGATGATATATCATCTAAGACTTTCTAATTTGTCCAAGTAATGTGATATTTCATTTAAGACTTTTTCTAATTTGTCCAAGTAATGTGATATATCATTTAAGAATTTTTCTAATTTGTCCAAGTAATATATTTAGTACTACTTTACTACTAGTTAGTACACTCTACTAATTAGTAAAGTGTCAGAATTGGAAAGTAAAGACATTGAAAACTTTACTGTTTTTGGTGATGGAAAACAAAGTGAAAAGATTGTTTGATCAAACTTTGCGACATAAGGTGATCCGAGTTAAAACTTTTTCTAATATTAAAAAATTTCAATGATTTTTTAAAATATAATGAAAATGTACTCTTATAAAACTTGTCGAAAATCATAAATTTTTTTTGTTTGTTTTCTCTGTTCAGAATGTTTTTTTTACTGTTTTATACTTTTTGTATTATTTAAAAATTTTTTTTTTATTTAATCTTGTTTGTTTAATGTAATTTTTATTTATTTTCATATTGTATTTTTATTGTTTATTTATGTTTCAGCACAGCAACGTGTACATTCATAGTCTGATTAGGGAAAGCATGTAAGGAGTGTACATACATCTACTAATGGTGTGGGGTTAGAGATAGATGCAGCAGAGTATACATCAATTTTATTTTAAGTATATATCAATGCAGCAGAGTATAAATCAATTAGGAAGAGCAAGAAAGGAGTTTATTTGCATCCATTGTGGGTATTGGTAGGGGCAGTAGCCTATTAAGTTAAATAAAGTAAATTAAATTTTTAAGCTATTTTCTGGTCTTTTATTTAAAATTAAAATAAAAATGCCTAATGCGTAATTTTTATAGGAAAATTTAAAGTCGACCAATTGAGTAAATATATTTATGTATGCATGTATTATTATTTTAACTAGTAATAATATTTTAATTTATCTTTTGCATGGTGAGCGCACATAACATCTGTTTTTTTTTTCATTTCATTCGGTTGACTAAAATATTGTTCTCAAACACCTAAAAACGCTTTATGAAAAAAATTATTTTGAATATATTAGACGACATCTGCAATTTGTTATACAAGCTTGAAACCTTATCTTGATAGTGACATAAAAAAAATGGTACAACACAACGTTACGAAAATTCCTCAGGTTTTAAAAAATAAAGGCTACAAAACTTGATGCAAAATGATGATAATAACTCTAAGACAGACAGAAAAAAGGCGATCTCAACAGTATCAGCTTCTCAACAATTTAAACTAACTGGCATATAACTTGATTGGCACGTAAATCCTTGCAGCATAACACCCAGAGCTCAACATCAAATTTTATCGCAAGATTGTCAGGAACTGCAAAGTCAGACAAGTTTTTTGAACAACCGAGTAGACAATTACTGGAATGCTTAGCCAGATAATGTTATCGATGCAACATCAGTTGATAAATTTAATCAACTACTGGATAATTTTCAGTCATTATAGTCATTGTAGTTACTCCCAAAAACTTTGAATGATTTACTCGATTTATTTCATTTTTATTGATTGACAGTTTCGGCAATTTTAATGGAAGATTAGTTGTCTTATTTTATGGTAGAGAGTATAACTTGTTTTTTCACAATTTAATGATAAATTTTAATTATAAACCATTGGTTAAAGCTTTCTAGTTCAATGTTCATTGTTTCGAACAGTATGTTTACATCAGAATTGTTGTAGAATAAATTTGTATTGTCTGCATACATAATTGACAATATTTTATGAGAAGCTTTATTCATATCATTGATATATATTAAAATTAATAAAGGTTCTAAAATTGATCCCTGTGGGACTCCGCAAACAATATCAAGAGCTCCTGACTCCTCCAGGACTACAAACTGTTTCCTATTAAAAAGATAACTCTAAAACCACTTATATGTTAGGCCTTTAATGCTTTAACTTTGAAAGCAAAATTCCTCAAAAAGCTGAAATTTGACTTAATACAAATCCTTTTTGTCTGTATTTTTTTTGCAAACTTGGTTGCTCTTTTTAAACATTCCAGTGCAATGTCAAATTCCATGACACCGCTGTGTAGCGCCAAGCAAAGATAAATGTGATGCAACATTCTAAACAGTGTCCTTGCGATGACTGAAGATTTCGTCATGTTTTCAAGAATTTGATTGAGACTGTGAAATCTACATAGCACATACAATATTTTTGGAATGAGTTCAAATATACACTTTTGTACAACACGACCGCAGCTTTTTATACTAGCTTTGTTATCATATTCTTAACCTCTGCAGTTCTGCAAATTTAAATTCATATCTTCAAGGTTTTTTAAACATGAACCAGTGCTTTTATTGACATATATGAATCCCACAAAGTATTCATTGATTTCTGCTGATCTATTTCCAATGTTGTATATTTACAAAACCATAGTCATTTATTGACCAGTATCAGGTGTGCCGTCTAAAAAAATGGAACAATATTTTGAATTTTGAACATTATTTATAACTTTTCTTCTGTGTTCTGGGCCAGAACTCTAACCGCTGCAGAGTGAGGCGGATTAAGTTAAAAACGGAAAAAAACATTAAACTATTTGATAAGCGTGAGTTAAATAGATATTTTACATCAAAGTTTTGGGTTTTTGGAGCCTAGGAATTTAAATATAGAACTGATTTTTTTTTTTTTTTTGCATGCAATAAACACTCGTACAACCCGCTATTTTTATAATGAAACTGTTCTATGTGGCTTTGTCTGTGACTAAGGCCGGCCCTGATTGTTTTACTTTTTTGAAATTTATGTCCTATCCAAATTTATTTAAAAATAAGTATATGTTTGCGAGTGATACTGATAATGATAAAATTTAAAAATTAAAAAAAAAAAATTATTTTCATAAAATAGTCTGTAAACAACCTAAGTAATACTTTCCTAAAACCGTTCGAAACCGTGGGTCATTAATTGGCGCGTTTGCAAATAACTCAAGAATTTTCTCCGAAGCTCCAAACACGAGTAGTTCTAAATCTTTTTTTATTTAAGCAACAGACTCTGCATGGCCGGCGCGATAGGGGAGTGTGACCTCCCCCCCCATCAATGATTTTTAGTCGGCAAATTTGACCCTTAGTCGGCAAATTTGACCCTATTTGACTAGTTAGTCGGCAAATGTCGACCCTTTCGACAGTTAGTCGGCAAATGTCTTCATTGCAGTCGGCAAACTTTCGATACTCGGTGTAGTTAAGGCACTTTTAAAATATTATAGCGTCTGTATGATATTTTGTTGACTACAACATATTTCCATTAAATTGTCTGGTCTGTGAATTATAAAAAGGCGAACAATATCAAAATGATAAATTTTGCGGTATCATAAAAAAAAAATGTTTGTAGCGAAAAAACCCAGACTGCAGATTCTTTTTTTTTTTTTTTAAATCATCTTAAATACGCAATCGCTTGTCCAAATTTGAAAAGGATTTTATATTAATACGTTTTTTAGGTGAAATGAACATTATAGTTTAACAATATGATCTGTTCTGATCGTTTATTGGCAATTTTCCATAATATAAGCTTTTTCTTGTTCGGAATTCTAGTATTTTTTCTGAAAATTGATTGAAATATTGTGTTTTGACAACGATATATAGTTAATATACGTCAGAACCGATTATAACTTGGATCAGTAGTAAATTAAGGAACTTTTTCAAGAGATTTTAATTAAATTAAAGTTAATGATGCCGATGAGCGGAATTGATCTAAAGACTCCAAAATGGTGTTCTTTAGATTCACTATTACGGGTTCTAAAAAGGTTTTGAAAATTATATTAAAAAAAGAAAAGTTTCTTTCAATATTGTAAAAACCTTAAGTAAAAAAAATTATAATATTTAAAGATCTTGTTTGGACATAATATGCTGACAAAATCATGCTAATTCCAAATAAAAGTATTCTAATATTTTGTAAATCGCCTTAACTACACCGAGTAACGAGGACCTATTTTTTTCTTTTTAGTCGACAAAAGTTGTAATGGCACCCCCCCCCCACGTGACACCTACTTGCGCCGGCCCTGCTTTGACCTAATAATTTTTATAATTTTTTAAATGTAAATTTTCAAATGTTGTAAAGCAATTTTCAAAGAATTTATAACAATTGAAAAATCGTTAAAACCTGGTAATTTACATAAGTAACTCATTAAGCGCTCTAGGTGCGACCAGTAGTTGCATCACCTTTGTTTGAGATTATGAATAACTTTTAGGCATAATTATTATGAATAACATTTAGGAAAACTCCAAATTATTTTATGTTCATATATATGTCAACGTCTTTTCAGTTTATAGTAAAACATAGATCTAAAGCAGACAAAGATATATTAGAAAAATAAAAACTTTGGTCATTTTATTAGGAAAGACTTTTGTAAATATAAAATTTAATTCTAGACGAAGTTCAATACCATTAATTTTTTAATTACAAACTAAGTTTAGATAAACTTAGTCTGTTATTATAAAATTACACTCATTTCAAAACCGAAACTACAGTTTAATCGTTTCGTAGAAACTTTTTATTTTATTTTCAAAGAAATAATTCTACCGAAACAACGTTATTTTATTAATCTTAAATATTATATATATGTAATATATAAATGCACGCGCAAATATTAATAAATGTGTTTTCTTTTTTTTTTAACACACATTGGTATGTTTAATAAAAATGCTCCCTGAATACTTTGATTACAGGTTAAGTGTTTTGGGCGTATGTTTAAAAAGATATTTAAAATGTTCTTAAACTTTCAATATAATAAAGGTCAAGGAAAAAAAAAAAAAAAAATGAAATGAAATCTATCTAAAATAGTGAAAAATGAAAATGGTGGTTGAAAATAAATCTGATAGAAAGGTAATACTGTTTTTCTTTTTTTCTATTATAATAAAAGACTTGTAAAAATGTTTCAAATTAACATAGTAAAAAGATAATTTGTCATAAAGCTATATAATAATTGTATAGAAATTTAAAAAAAATGTAAGAAAATGTATTGAAACATTGCAATAAATTCTATTAGAGTTTATTTAATTTATTTATTTAGAATTTATTTATTTATTTAGAATATATTTATTTATTTATCTATTAGAATTTATTGCAATTTTTCAATTCATTTTTACTTTTGGAGTTAAATAATATAAAAGAATTTGGTTTAAATGACTTAAAAAATAAAGTAATTGTTGCAATTACTTTATTTTTTCAAAACAAAAGACTTATTAAAACTAGTTTTTATTTTGACAAAAAATATGGCACTTATTTTATCGTTGTATTTGCTTCAATCTTGTAGAAATAAATACAGATTCTAATTGTGTGCTTTTTGATGCTACGTAAATCACTAAAATTTATTTAAATAGTATAAACAACCAGTATAAGTACTCCAACAGACCATCTTTTATACAGGTTTGTGATCGTAAAATTCATTGGGGTTAAAAAGTTCTTGTATAGTTTCTACAACATATCAAACTATTCGAACTTTAAAATATTTTTAAAGAAAGAATATGAAAAGCCATTAATAAATGTTATAAAGGTATACATAATTTAACTATTGCACTATATAAATGGTTAAAAATAGTTGTAAGCACAAAATTATTACAGTTAACAAAGTCCCAAAAAGTAAAGTTAAATGATAATAAGTAACATAATATTAACAAAATATTGTATTTTGCATCCCTCAACCTTTATGAAAACATCTAAAGTTAACATAGAACTATAAGCCTAATTTTAAAATAAAATTAATTATTCAAGACATAGGCTTGCTGTGGGAAATTATGTATTAGTTAATGGACAACCTTAATATCCCAATGTCAAGGTTCATTTGAGCAAAGCCACCTATTTTTTAAAAATAGTGGCGACATTAACAAACAATATAAATATTTAAAATGTTGCAATTTGGTACTGCTCATTAGAGATGTGCCTGGTACCTGGCTCCGTCTTGGTTTTCCTGTGGTTTAATTGGTTTTATATTAAAATTTATTTTTCTATACACTGCAGCAATCTTTATTAAGAAATAAGTTATAAACAATGTTAAGTAATTAATGTCTTTTCTTTTATAGATTCTTTTAAAGTTTTCAGTCATTCAGTTGCCAAAGATTTTGGTTTAATTCCTTGTTAAAAAATCTGCACTAGTTCCAGAAAAACACTGTTATTGTAATCACCAAGAAAAAGATAGACTTTTTCTTGAGGTCCATTTTTTTTTTGTTTAATGATGTTTACATTAAAAAAGTTGAAATATTGCAAGTTTTTGGTGCTTCTTAGATTCTTTCAAAAATAGATAGAGTTATATGGGAGTTGTAAAATTAATAAAATAAGAGGTGTTACAAAGTTGTTTTCGTATTATTAGGTGTATAAGTACTTAATGTGATTCAAATCAAATCATAATTTGACAAAAAATCATCAAAATCTGAAAAAACTTTTTATTCTCACTCCAGACACTCAGACAATAGAGAAAACTTTGCGGTAATATTTGACTTCTAATACAAGTCAGAAAATTAAAAATAAATTTGAATATTAAAGCCTCAATCAACCCAAAATCAGGTAGACATTTATGCAAAAAGATAATTTCAGATTTTGTTGAATTCTATTAATGCAATAAATATTCAAGAAATAAATATCCAGGTATGAAAGAGTTTCTATTTATTAAAGTAGATGGTGTAGAGCAATGTACCCAAAAATATAACATCTCTCAATTTCTAAAGAACTTTATTTTCAGTTAAATTATAGTCTTGCAGAAGTGTTCTCCTGAGCTGTCATCTATCTTTTCAAAACTATTCAACAAGTGCTTATCAGAGTCTTGTTTTCCAGCCTGCTGGAAAGCAGCATCTGTTATCCCTATTTTTAAAAATTCTGGAGAGCGATCTGACTCATCTAACTACCGTCCCATTAGTCTTCTTCCTATCATAAGCAAGGTTTTTGAATCTTTAAATAACAAACACTAAATCTCTCATCTCGAATCTCATAACCTACTTTCTGATCATCAGTATGGATTTCGATCTTCTTGTTCTACGGCTGATTTGCTATCAGTAATAACCGATAGGTTTTATCACGCATTAGATAAAGGTGGAGAGGTTAAGGCCATTGCTCTTGACATTTCTAAAGCGTTTGATAAAGTTTGGCATGCTGGTCTCCTCCATAAGCTTTCTTCTTATGGTGTATCTGGAAACATCTTTAAGATTATTGAATCCTTCCTTTCCAATCGTAGTACAAAAGTTGTCCTTGATGGACAGCACTCTTCTTCTTATTCTGTAACCTCAGGGGTTCCCCAAGGTTCGATCCTTGGCCCTATACTCTTTTTAATTTACATTAACGATCTTCCTGATATTCTCACATCTAAGGTGGCATTGTTCGCTGATGATACTACCATTTATTCTTGTCACGATAAGAAGCCAACTCCCTCTGATTGCTTGCAGGGGGCATCTGAGCTCGAAAAGGATCTCACTTCTGCTACAGCATGGGGCTTGCAGTGGCTGGTGAACTTTAATTCAGATAAAACTCAATTTTTTTCGGCCAATCGTTATTGCAATAATTTAGACCTTCCTATATTTATGAACGGTAATGTACTCGATGAGTCTCCTACCCTTCATCTTCTAGGATTAACTCTTACTTCTGATCTTTCTTGGAAACCTTATATCAAATCCGTTGCAAAATTAGCACCTGCTAAAGTTGCTTCTCTTTATCGAGCTCGTCACTTTCTTACTCTGGATTCTATTCTCTATCTCTATAAATCTCAAATTCGTCCTTATATAGAATACTGTTGCCATATCTGGGGCGGATCTTCTAATGATGCCCTTTCTCTTTTAAACAATGTGCAAAAACGCATTGTAAACATAGTTGGACCTGATCTTGCAGCCAACCTTCAACCTCTGCAGGGTTGGCAAAAAAACCCAACCCAAAAAAACCCAAAAAAACCCACCTTAAAAAAACCCAATAAAACCCAAAAAAACCCAAAATATATTTGGGTTTTTTTAAAAATGACCTATTTTACAACTGATATCTCTGATTTTAACACTTATAAATGCTTTATTATCAGCAAGTGCAACCTTTATACTGTAATTACTCTTGTAAACACTGTATTTATTTACATAATGGTCTTTAGAATATACCCAAAATCGATCAATCTGTTTTTGTAGCAAGTTGGTTATTTATTGTTTTTTTAAAACATTTAGCAAGTTATTATAAATGTTATTGAAATATGTATTAAAACATTAAATTAGTTAAATACTTATAAAGGAAATAAAAATCATTCTATTAACTAAATTTCAAGACATTACTAGTTATTTAGTATCTTTATTCTCCTCCCGAATGTCTATATTCCTTTATATTGGTATTTGATCTTTTATTTTTTTATGTTGTTAACTGCAAAAAAAAAATACAAAGCCACAAGCAAAATACTATATATAATATATATATTTATAATATATATTTAGAAATGGAAAGTTGTCAGGCAAAAAAAAAAATACTACAGTTTACTAGATTTGTCCTTAAGTGCATACAACTTTAAAACTTAAAAAAAAATTAAGTTATGTGCAAGCAAGCTTGCAACATGTTTGCTCATTCAACGAGAGAACATGTTGAAAACTTGTATGCATTTCACAAGGACAAGATTTGTTGGTAAAAATGACACTCGTGCTCATCTGTCTTTTGACAGGTTTGAATATTTTGCATCAGCTACAAGTTTACAACATGTACCACCAACAGGGGTGACTATGAACAGCGGGTTGAAAATTAACATCAGTATCAAGTTGCTAAAAGGTGAAGAAACACACACACAATAGAGCTATATAATGTGTTACTTTGATTCAGTTTGCAATTTGCATTGCAAAACTGAGCCGGTAAAACATCTTCAAGGAAAAAAAAAAACTTGGTGGCGAAGACACTGTAATGGTTCTTAACAAATTTACTTTATATATATTTAGAAACAAAGTTTAGGCAAAAATCCATTTTTTGCCAGTCCAGTTGATCATTGATAACTTTTCCAGGAAGCTGGACAGTATAATGTTCTGATAAAAAAAAATGTAGTGATTAGGCTAGCAGTTTTCTTCTATGATACAAAAATGTTTAAAAAGTGTTCATAGTCATCCTGATTGATAATAACTTATAAGGTTGCAACATCATGTTGCAAACTTGTTGATTACACGTTGTATACTTGTGCAAAGTAGTTTTTGAAATGGTATGTTGAACATGTTAGTAAAAAAAACTAGTTTGCAACATTTATATTGTCTTACCAACTTTGAATAACTCAATTGTCATGATTTTTACACTGATTTTATTTTAGTCAAAAATATTCTGAACATGTTTTTAATTTAGAGCAATTAATTAACATCATTTATAGTTGATGGAGCCCCTTTTTGCACTATAGGTAAAATGTGCTAGTAGACTAGTAGCAAAACATTTGGCTCACAACCAGAAGGTTGGGGTTCAAATTACCTCTGCTGAAATTACTGTCTCAATCTATTTTTCCACACAGCGCCTTTGTTTAAAAATTTTAGTTGTTAATGTTGTTTGTTAGTAAAAATGGTAATGTTAAAGATTGAGACAAAATATTTTTAAAAAATGAGTTGCTCCCTTGACTGAAATGGTCATTGGAGCAATAGGGAGGTGAATTTATGAAATTAAAAAAATAAACTATTGTACTCATACAAATTATAGAAATTTGGTATTGTGATCGATTTTTAAAAAAACCCAAAAAACCCAATAAAACCCAAAAAAACCCATTTGGGTTGGGTTTTTTTAAAAAACCCTGGGTTTTTTCCAACCCTGAACCTCTGTCACATTGTCGTAATGTTGCTTCTCTTTCTCTTTTCTATAAATACTATAATGGACACTGCTCTAAAGAGCTAGCGTCTCTTCTGCCATCTACT